CAGGTATTGGTTGATGACCTGGTTGACCCTCTCAGTCTGTCCATCGGTCTGGGGATGGAAGGCCGTGGACAGACTGGTTTGGATCCCGAGCTGCGTGCAGAGTGCCTTCCAGAACCGAGAGGTGAACTGACTTCCTCGGTCTGAAACCACTGTGTCGGGGAGGCCATGGAGACGAAAGACATTGTCGAGGAACAGTGACGCAGTCTCCTCCGCCGACGGCAGTGAACGCCAGGACATAAAGTGTGCCATCTTTGTGAGGCTGCATACCACCACAAAGATGCAGGTGTGACCCTTGGACTTTGGCAGATCAGTGATAAAGTCCATGGTCAGTGTCCCCCAGGGTCGATCGGCTGTCTGGAGTGGCAACAGGAACCCAAACGGCTTGTGTCGCGGAGCTTTCGAGCGTGCACAGGTGTCGCACGTCGAGACGTACTCTTTGACATCTTTCCGATAGGTTTGCCACCAAAACTGTCGCGATACCAGAGCCAGAGTCCGTCGGATGCCTGGATGACCCACAGCGACTGGGTCATGGCACGACTTGAGCGCCGGAACTCGGCACGACTCTGGGACCACAATCCTGTTCTGGAAGGTGAGGTACTGGCCATTCCAGACGAACTTCGGGTCACGACGGTATTTGTCTAGACCGGGATCCCGAGCCTGCTCTTCGGCTATGAGCTGCAGCAAATCCACAGGGTCACTGCGACTTGCAACCGAAGAGCGGGCGTCTCTGCTTCGGAGCACGCGTATCACCGCGGCAGGATCGAGAAGCAGAGGCGGATCCCTCGACACGGAGGCCGACGAAGGGATGTAGTCCGAGCGACGAGACAGGGCATCGGCCTTGCCGTTCCTCGCACCAGGACGGTACTGGATGCGGATGTCGAACCGAGACAAGAACTGGGACCACCGTGCATGACGCTGGTTTAGGATGCGAGCCGTTGCCAGGTACTCCAAGTTCTTGTGATCGGTCAGAACGGCAACGGGATGCTGGGCGCCTTCGAGGTAGTGTCGCCACGCCTCGAAAGCCTCCTTGATCGCCAACAGCTCTTTCTCGTATATGCTGTAGTTACGTTCAGCATTCGAGAGTGTCCGCGAATGGAACGAGCAAGGATGAAGGCGATCATCAGCACCCCGCTGGGAGAGCACGCATCCAAGCGCAAAGTCCGACGCATCTGACTCTACGACGAACGGCTTGGATGGGTCCGGATGCACCAGAACGGGCTCCGAAACGAAGGCATCCTTCAAGGATCTGAATGCTTTATCGGCTTCGCGGGACCACTGGAAGCCATGCGTCTTCCGGAAGAGCCGAGTCATGGGCCCCGCGATCTTTGCGTATCCATCGATGAAGCGTCGATAGAAGTTCGCAAACCCGACAAAGGATCGAAGATCCGAGATGTTGCGCGGTATGGGCCAATCCAAGATCGCAGAGAGCTTGGATCGCTCCATACCGATGCCCTCGGGCGAGACCATGAAACCAAGGAACGAGACCGAGGTTTTGGAGAACTCGCACTTCTCCAGCTTGCAATACAGCTTTGCAGCTCGGAGCTTCGAGAGGACCTGCTTGACGTGCTCTACATGCTGCGACGGATCAGCACTGTAGATCAAGATATCGTCAAGATACGCAATTGCGAACTGGTCCAACTCGGTGCGCAGGACGTCGTTGATGAAGTGCTGGAACGTCGCTGGCGCGTTGGTGAGCCCAAAGGGCATCACCAAGTACTCGAAGTGCCCATATCGAGTACGGAAAGCTGTCTTCCACTCGTCCCCGGAGCGGATGCGCAGCAGATTGTAGGCTCCACGAAGGTCCAGCTTAGTGAACACCTTCGCGCCTCGAAGTCGGTCCAGCAGCTCGCCGATCAGCGGTAAAGGGTAACGGTTCTTTACCGTGATACCGTTCAGTGCGCGGTAGTCAACGCAAAGACGAAGTGAGCCGTCCTTCTTCTTGACGAAGAGGATTGGTGAGCCTGCTGGGGACGACGAAGGACGAACGAATCCCTTGGCAAGATTCTCGTCGAGATAGTCACGCAGAGCGTGAAGTTCGGGCTCGGACAGTGAGTACAGAGGCCCGAACTTTGGCGACTTGCCCGGCTCCAAGTCAATGGGGCAGTCATAAGGGCGATGCGGAGGCAAGGAGTCAGCTTCCTGTTTAGAGAAAACAGACAGGAAGTCCTTGTACTCCGCAGGCACTTCGACAGTCGCAGTGCTCGGCTCGTCAGTGGGCAGGACATGGACCTGAAAGATGGTCAGGGGTTGCGTTCCATGCCTGCATGCATCCAAAGACTCGCGCATCGAGCGGTAATCAATGCTGCAGACGCGGAGAGGAGCGTCCGAGCTGAGAGGAGGGGCGTGGACAAGGTCAGAATAATGTTCGACGGTTACTTTATTCTGAACAATGTCCGAAGAACAAACAACAGGAGGAGGTACATCAAGGAGGGAAAGAGAACTGACAACAGAAGAAGGGGTTTGGGAAGAGCGAAGGGGTTCGGGAGGAACAAGACAAGAAGGGGAAGACGAAGGTGGGAGCGTAGGAGAGGAGCTTAGATCAATCAAAGGAGTGGAATCATCAAGAAGGGGAGTGACATTGGAGGAAGTGGAGCAAGACGAAAGAGAAGTAGTGCATGGAGAGGGGTCGGAATCAACAGAAGGAGGGAGACAAAGAAGACCGCGAGACCAGACAATCTTGGGCTCGGCGGTGCGCAACCAAGGAAAGCCAAGGATAAGTGGTTGATGTGGAGACCTGATCACATCGAACCGAAGGCGTTGCGAGACGTCCCCGAGAATCACCTCGAGTGGAGCAGTCTCGCGGAGGATGGGGCCAGACGACAGCGGCTTACCATCCACGCCTTCCACTGCCAAGGGCGAAGCCTTGGAGCAGGTGGGGACAGAGTGTCGAGCAACAAAGTCCTCGTCGATAAAGTTGCCAGAGGCACCAGAATCGACAAGTCCTTCGCACGACAGAGAATCACCAGAAGGAAGACGAACAGCGACGGGAACAACCAACGAGCAACGACGAACAGACGAAACACAAGACTTTGGTTCGGTACCAGCTTCGGCACCAGGGTTGCGGCTAGCACAGACAGTTAACTTTGCCGAGGGTTGGCAGGACAGCTCAGGTATTTGCACCTGTGGATGAGGTGCAGTTCCCAGTGACACCAGAGGTGCCACGGGTACTATGCCAGAGCTGAGAGTGTCCGCCGGTCCAGAGGCAAGGCGAAGCTGTCCGCACATCACTGCTTCCCCAGTACTTACCAAAGGCACCTTACCAATGTCTTCACTTTCGGAAGGCGGTGGGCACGGCTCCGGTTCAAGGCCTTCACTTAGAACCGGGCCTGGTCGTTTCCCGAACTGAAGTCTTGCACTTCTCCATCTTCGTAAACGATGGTGCGGATGATCCTCGGGCCGGGAGGTCCAGGGGGCGGTCCGGTAGCTCTGGTAGATCCAAACTTGACGGGGCAGTTTCGTACCAAGTGGCCCTTCTTGCCACAGTACAGGCAGAGTCCAAAGCGGCGGCGGCGTTGTTTCTCCTCGGCGGTCAGGGGTCCAGAGACGGCAGAGTCCACTTGCATGGGCTCGGAAACAATGTAGGAGGGGTGCGGCGGAGCGAGGACGGGCGCGGGAGCGATGGCGGGAACGGCAGCGGAGGCGGAACCAAAGGCGAACTGGGAAGACCGGTAGCGGGCAGGCGTGCTTCGGCGCTCTTGACGGCGCTCGCGGATTCGTGCATCGAGCTCGTTACAAAGCTCGATGTACTCCTCCAGATCTCGTGGCAGAGGGCGAACTCGCGAAAGTTCGTCTCTGACATCATCCGACAAGCCAAGTCGGAAGAACGAGATCTTTGCACCGTCGTTCCAAGTCGTATCGGCGGCAATACGAAGGAACTCGGATGCATAGACTGCGCACGGGCGGTTGCCCTGAGACAGTGTGGTGATCACTGACTCGGCAGTCCTGGCCCGATCAGGGTCGTCAAACACTTTGGAAAAGCGTTCTAGGAAATCGCCAAAAGAGTTGAGTCGGGGATCACCCATCTCAAGCATCGGAGTCGCCCACTGGAGAGCCGGTCCAGTGAGCAGACTAATGACGAATCCGACCTTAATCGGGTCAGCAGGGAACCGGTGGGGCTGCATTCGTATATACAGTTTGCACTGATTTACGAATGCCCGGAACCCTTGCCGGTTACCGTCGTAACGGTCCGGCATCTGCACGCTGTACCCAGCGGCAGGAGCATCGCGAGCTGTCCGGAGCTCGGCGAGCTCGGCCTCCAAGGCACGGAGGCGGTCCACGAGGGCAGGATCCATGGCGGGACTGGGACTGGGACTGGGAAAAAAAAAAGCGAGGAGGTTCAAGAACAGGAGAGCGAAGAGGGCTCAGACACAAGTGTGCTTGAGGTTCGGACAGGACTAGGAAAGGGGCGGGGCTAGGAGCGGAAGATACCAAGCAGGTGGTATCAGTAGAAGAGAGTTCGAACAAAGTGTAAGGAGTGAACAAGCGCAAGGACGAAGACCAAGTGCTTGGTATGAGCTTTATTAGCTTTTAGCCCCGAACACCAAAGAACAAGTTTTGTTCGAACTGGTGTTCAACATAGGCTCAGACATGCAGGGCTATTTATAGACCGGGAGAAGGTCGAGGGGCAAAAGTGGGCGAGAAGGGTGGAGCATCACAGAGAAGCGAGAAGGGGGTGCGAGAGTGGCTGGTGTGCAAGCGAGAGAGGCTTGGCACAGCCCGGGGACATGTGCCGAGCGGTGGGGGAGGCAGGAAACCAGTAGACGCGGGTGGCAACGGCGCGTGCTCATGCATGGGGGCAAACAAACACGTGGGGACTCATGATTGGTGCGGAGGGCGAGAGCATGCGGGACAATCTCATTGGTCCGTTGTGATGCTGGTCATCACACACCGACAGCGCGCGTGCTGGCGATAAGACAACAAGGCAGCACAGCGCGGGAAACAAACAAACAGAAGGAAGGGAAAGCGCTAAGGCAGGCAAACAGAAAGGAAAGGGCAAGGGTAAAGGAAGGAAGAGGGCAAAGGCAGAGGGTGTTCATGACAGCGAAGCAGCGAGCGAAGCAGGTGGCGGCCGTGACTCGGGATCCGTGAGTCAGCGGGCGTCAGTGGCGGCGGCATGGCGGCGCCAAGGCGTCAGGCGGCGTCGAGGCGGCGTCGTGGGCGTAACCCATGACCAACAACAAGGAAGCGGGAAGGGAACACCGACAGCGCGCGTGCTGGCGATAAGACAACAAGGCAGCACAGCGCGGGAAACAAACAAACAGAAGGAAGGGAAAGCGCTAAGGCAGGCAAACAGAAAGGAAAGGGCAAGGGTAAAGGAAGGAAGAGGGCAAAGGCAGAGGGTGTTCATGACAGCGAAGCAGCGAGCGAAGCAGGTGGCGGCCGTGACTCGGGATCCGTGAGTCAGCGGGCGTCAGTGGCGGCGGCATGGCGGCGCCAAGGCGTCAGGCGGCGTCGAGGCGGCGTCGTGGGCGTAACCCATGACCAACAACAAGGAAGCGGGAAGGGAACACCGACAGCGCGCGTGCTGGCGATAAGACAACAAGGCAGCACAGCGCGGGAAACAAACAAACAGAAGGAAGGGAAAGCGCTAAGGCAGGCAAACAGAAAGGAAAGGGCAAGGGTAAAGGAAGGAAGAGGGCAAAGGCAGAGGGTGTTCATGACACTACCCCCCTCTCAAGGCCCGAGCTCCGAGAGGGCCAGGCTTCGAGGGATGAGAGGAGTGGTAGGCTGCGACAGGCTCCGGACAATGTGCAAGATTGCTGGCGGGCTCCCAGGTGCAATCCATCACCGTGTAGCCACGCCAGTGCACAAGATACTGGAGCTTACCTCGGAACAGCCTGGAGTCCAGGATCTGTTCGACTTCCCATTCGTCGTGGCCGTCGACTTGGATGGGTGGAGGGGGCGGGATCGTTCGACCTGGGATCTTGTCGTCGGCGGCGGGCTCGAGCAGGGAGACGTGGAAGACAGGATGAATGCGCATGGACGAGGGCAAGTCCAACTTGAAAGCGCGGGAACCGACTTGAGCGACGATCTTGAACGGCCCAAGCTTGGTGTGGTCGAGCTTGGCCGTGGGTCGCTGGGTCTTGATGTTCTTGGCGGAGAGCCAGACTCGGTCTCCAACCTTGAACGGAGGGGAAGGGGAGTGGCCGGGGTCGTAGAACTTGGCTTGGGAGTCCTGGGCAAGGGCGATGTTGAACTTGAGTTCATCGTGGAGGGAGTGAATGGCTCGGGCTTGATCGTCGGCGACGGAGGCATTCTTGGTGGTGCGGGGAAGGGCGACGGAAAAACGAGGGTGGTAGCCGGTGTAGGCAAAGAAGGGGGAGCAGCCGAGGGTTGCTTGAGAGGTGTTGTTGTAGGTGAACTCGGCGTGAGGGAGGAGCTGGGCCCAGTCGTCTTGCTGGAAGTTGATGAAGCAGCGGAGGTACTGCTCGAGGATGGCGTTGACCCGCTCGGTCTGGCCGTCGGTCTGCGGATGGAAGGCAGTCGACATCTTGTGCTTGATCTTGAGGCGGGTCAGGACGGCTTGGAAGAACTTGGAGGCAAAGGTAGATCCTCGGTCTGAGACGATATCGTCTGGAAGACCGTGCTTGGTGAAGACATGCTCGACAAACATCCGAGCAGTGTCCTCGGCGTTGGCCTCGTTGCTTGACGGGACGAAGTGGGCCATCTTGGTGAAGCGGTCGACAAACACACAGATGGCTGTGTGTCCAGAGGACTCGGGAAGCTGGGTGATGAAGTCGACCGAGACTGAGGACCAAGGGCGATCTGTAGGAGATGGTATCTCCGACGCTGTGCTGCGCGTACTGCGCGTACTGCGCGGCGCAGTGGGTCGTGACCTGTGCTGCGCTTTGCGTTTTCACGCACCGCAGGCAGGCCACCGCAGGGTATACCTGCGGGTTGCCCCCGTTCCCCCCGTTTGTCTGGAGTTCGGTTTTATCGTGAATAAACGTAAGTGCTCCCCGAGCTCACCCGTCCGCTAGAGTAGCCTAGCACCGCCCTGTTCTGCCCCGTCCTGTCTTGTCTTGTACCCCCTCCCTCCCCGTCTTGCCCCAACGTCCCAGTAGTGGACGTTACATGGTAGCATCGGAAATCCTCGTCTTGTTTTCGTCCTGTTTGTCCTCTTTCTAGATCCTCAAGCTGGATCCCGCCTCTCTTGCCGACCGACTCTCCTCTCTGTCCCTGGAGCCTGCCCCTGCCATGAGCAACCCCCGCCCACTTCCGGAAGCCTTCCTCAAGACCTTCCGTGCCCCAGTGTTTACTGGGAAGAGCCGCTCCTCCTCGGTGGAGGACTGGCTGCAGCAACTCGAGGACTACCTCGATGCTGCCCAAGTCGCCCCCACCCACCACATCGTCGCCGCCAAGCTCTGCTTAAAGGACCAGGCGTACCGTTGGTACCGCCGCCAAGGGTTCGACGAGCAGAGCGAAGGTGTGTTTGACGACTTCAAGGACCGCCTCCGTCGCCGCTTCGGCAGCCCCAATGCTGAACTCATTGCCCGTGACAAGCTATACTCTCTCGTGCAGCGTGGTTCTGTGACCCGCTACATCGAGGAGTTTGAAGACCTCTCCTCCCAGATTGAGGAGCTGGGCTCTGCTGATGCGATGTACCTCTTCCAGAAGGGCCTCAAGCCCAAGATCAGAGAGTACATCGCCAGCAACCCTGATGCCCGCAAGTCCCTGGACGTGATGATGGACGTTGCCGAGAACCTCGACAACGTCCAGTACCATGGCCGCCAGTTCTACCCGCAGCTGGCAGGCGGCCATCGGTCTCATCACGTCCCAGCCCGTCCGCCTCGCCCGGCCCCGCCCGCAAGACCCATGCCTGAGCCCATGGACGTTGACGTCAACGCCATGGAGGCTCGTGGCCCTCCCCGCTCCCGGTTCCAGCAAGCTGCCACTGTCTCCCCCAAGGACAGACAGAAGCAGGAGGACCTCCGCCATGGTTCCTGCTTCTTCTGTCACCGACCGGGACACCAGGCCAAGGAGTGCCCCATGAAGTCGGGAAACGGCCGACCCTACTAGGTGGCTCTGGAGCCCTAGTAGGAGACCAACGCCGTGGATTGCTCAATGCAGTCCACGCGTCTCCAGAGGAAGTTCACCTCGCCCCCTCCCCCGAAGGAGAAACAAACCAAGTGTTGTGCGTCGTGCGAGAGGTGCATGGTGGCGCAAGCCGCCTGCCTCTCCACGAACGTGAAGAGAAAACCAAAATTGAAAACCAAAACAAAAAAGAAAATCAAGAACCCTTGAGGGACAGGACCGCCTGTGCCCTCACCCCTGTCAAGTCGTGTGTGTCGGATGCTTCCGACATGTGTCCGCAAGCCGTGGACGTCGTGTGCAATGGCGTGCTGACGCCGCAGGCCCCCGCAATGGCCGAACCCTATCCAAAATGTCCGAGTGGCCGTGATGAAGCCAACCAAGACCAAGTGTCGCCCGTTCCCCCAAGTCAAGTCATGGTGCAGGAGGCTGTGCAGGAGGACCATGAAGAGTCCCTGCTGTACCTCCCTGCCACCGTCCAAGGTCACACCGTCCGAATGATGGTGGACTCTGGAGCAAGCTGCAACTTTGTCAGCAGACGCTTGCTCCAGGAGCTCAACATACATGCAACCAAGAAGAAGTCGCCGATGAGTGTGGCGCTTGCAGACGATCGTGTGCAGCAGTGCACACACCAAGTGGTCCTGCGAGTGGCCCTCCATCCCAAGTACCATCCTGTCCTGTTGTTCCAAGTGATCGACACCAAGTTCGATGCCATCCTCGGCATGAGCTGGCTTGCTCGTGCCGAGCCGACTCCAGTCGTCGACTGGAAAGGCCGCACTGTCCGTGTTGGCCCTGACATTGTCCTGCAGGGCATGGCCTCACCCAACATGCCACCTCTCCTCTCAGCCATGCAATTCAAGAGGCTGATCAAGAAGGACACGTCGTTCCTCTGTGTCGTGCGTGAGGTCGACGACACCGACCAAGCCGGTCCCGGTCCCCCGCCTGTGGTGACCAAGCTGCTCGACGAGTACAAGGACGTATTCCCCGACCAGTTGCCACAATGCCTGCCACCCCAACGCACCGTCGATCATCGCATCGACATCGAACCAGGCTCGTCGCCTCCGTCAAGACCGACGTACCAACTGTCGCTGACGGAGATGGACGAACTCAAGCGCCAGTTGGATGACCTCCTCGCCCATGGGTTCATCCGCCCGAGCCAGTCACCGTATGGTGCACCAGTGCTCTTTGTCAAGAAGAAAGAAGGTGATCTCAGGATGTGCGTCGACTATCGCGCACTAAACAAACAGACCATCAAGAACACCTACCCGTTGCCCAGGATCGACGAGTTGATGGATCGTCTGAGTGGAGCAAAGGTCTTTAGCAAGATAGACCTCCTGTAGGAGATGGTATCTCCGACGCTGTGCTGCGCGTACTGCGCGTACTGCGCGGCGCAGTGGGTCGTGACCTGTGCTGCGCTTTGCGTTTTCACGCACCGCAGGCAGGCCACCGCAGGGTATACCTGCGGGTTGCCCCCGTTCCCCCCGTTTGTCTGGAGTTCGGTTTTATCGTGAATAAACGTAAGTGCTCCCCGAGCTCACCCGTCCGCTAGAGTAGCCTAGCACCGCCCTGTTCTGCCCCGTCCTGTCTTGTCTTGTACCCCCTCCCTCCCCGTCTTGCCCCAACGTCCCAGTAGTGGACGTTACATGGTAGCATCGGAAATCCTCGTCTTGTTTTCGTCCTGTTTGTCCTCTTTCTAGATCCTCAAGCTGGATCCCGCCTCTCTTGCCGACCGACTCTCCTCTCTGTCCCTGGAGCCTGCCCCTGCCATGAGCAACCCCCGCCCACTTCCGGAAGCCTTCCTCAAGACCTTCCGTGCCCCAGTGTTTACTGGGAAGAGCCGCTCCTCCTCGGTGGAGGACTGGCTGCAGCAACTCGAGGACTACCTCGATGCTGCCCAAGTCGCCCCCACCCACCACATCGTCGCCGCCAAGCTCTGCTTAAAGGACCAGGCGTACCGTTGGTACCGCCGCCAAGGGTTCGACGAGCAGAGCGAAGGTGTGTTTGACGACTTCAAGGACCGCCTCCGTCGCCGCTTCGGCAGCCCCAATGCTGAACTCATTGCCCGTGACAAGCTATACTCTCTCGTGCAGCGTGGTTCTGTGACCCGCTACATCGAGGAGTTTGAAGACCTCTCCTCCCAGATTGAGGAGCTGGGCTCTGCTGATGCGATGTACCTCTTCCAGAAGGGCCTCAAGCCCAAGATCAGAGAGTACATCGCCAGCAACCCTGATGCCCGCAAGTCCCTGGACGTGATGATGGACGTTGCCGAGAACCTCGACAACGTCCAGTACCATGGCCGCCAGTTCTACCCGCAGCTGGCAGGCGGCCATCGGTCTCATCACGTCCCAGCCCGTCCGCCTCGCCCGGCCCCGCCCGCAAGACCCATGCCTGAGCCCATGGACGTTGACGTCAACGCCATGGAGGCTCGTGGCCCTCCCCGCTCCCGGTTCCAGCAAGCTGCCACTGTCT